GATCGCTCCTGACGACCCTCATACGCATGCGGTAACCAGGCAGAGAATAGGCAAAGCGGCTCTTGGAACACTATATAATGCCACCGTGAACAGCTATTCTCTGGAGATCTCCCCCACCGAATCGAAACAGGCAGACCTGAGAGACGTCGCTGGATCTGTGGTGGTAGCTACACTTCTTGCTATCTTGAACTTTTATTGCTTTGCTTTTCATTTTCCTTATCTTTCTTTCCTATCGCTCTCCAGTGGTTGTTAGTAAATAAAGGGTTTTGCTTTTGTGACATCTGACACCGTTTGTGTCTTAGTTTCACCTTTGCGATCAAAACGAATCACCTTGACTCTAACCCTTATCAGGTATAAGCGGGTCAAGACAAGCTGCACAATGCTGGAGCCAAAGAGCTTGCTGCAAGTCATGCAGGGAGAGCAAAAAGATTACTCTTGTTAATCAGCGTAGGAGCAGATATGGCTTCTGCTGGTTCCTCTCTATTATTTGATCCCTGAAATCCTTCTGTAACTCCCACTAGAGTTCCTAGCACCAGTCCCTCAAGGAATGTGAGACAACAGATGCTGCAATTTCATGGCAAATGTGCAGCAAATCCCCATGTCCCGCCCCAGCCAAAGGCTCAAGAGGCTCTTCCTCCTTCAGCAGCAACACAAATCTGTAGGCTTATTCCTTCTTGTAAAGCAAGGGTATGGTGTGCACTCCAGGCAGAGATGGGTGGGGGTTGGTGGGTGGAGTTTTTTATATTTTTGGCTTTGCAGAGACAGTCTGGGCAGCAAGAACTGCCTCAGTTGCATCCTTGTTACCCTGGGGATGTTGTAGGGACCTTGCTGGTAGTCAAGGATGGGTCACAAAGGGTACAGAGATTGGGGCCTCGCACTTGAAAATCCCACGTTTGCCTTGGGGATACATCTAAAGTAGTCTGGTAACATCTTTCCTCACACCATCCGTGTGATTTATGTTGGCATTCAGGAATGTCTTGGGGTTTCATTATTTTTTTTTTAAATGAAAGAAGCCTTCGAAATTCACTGTAATTTACTTACGATCGTATAACAACCATCAGGCTGTAGCCAAAGACGCTGATCCCAACCATGAAATAGGCCATGGGTAGCCTGTATTTTAACCAGCCAATTGTCCTCTGGTTGTTGTAGTAGCCATAAAAAAGTGCCGAGTATTTGATGTAGCCCTAGAGGAAAAGAAAAACAAACCTTTGTGGAAGCTCTGCAGCTTTTCTTCTGCAGGTAAGAGGTTTCAGATGAAAGCTGGAGAATTTAAAACGAGGAAAATCAACCTAGGAGAATTTTTAGTGTCTCACTCTTGGTTCTTCGCTGCCATCTCACCTTTGAGAGCCATCCTCATAAGATCCTCCTCCTCTTATCTTTCTCAGAGAGGGGAGAAGAGGGAGAGCATGTCAGAGGCTAATGGCTGAAAACTAAAATGTGGAGATTTTTTCATCACTGTTTCATCCTTCCCAGAAAAACTGCCTCATTGCTCTCTGTAGCCCACCTGCTTCTTTAAGCCAGTATCAAACACTCAGATCTTGTAGAAACGCTGCAGCAAAGGGTTTTCCCTCTGCGAGATGAAGATTTTCCTTTCAGCCTGGAGGCAGCTGATGCCTGGTACCCTGCAGATTTAGTTCCTTTTACCAGCTACCACCTGCAGAGCAAATATAACTAAAGACTAAAATCAAAGCATCGCTTTCCTGTTGGAAGCAGAGCTCAGATGCAATCTCAACCATGTTGTCTCAAGTCGATCTATTTTTTTGTTGTACAAACAGTTGAGCATTCAATGGGTGTGCAGATTTCATCTGCGTCAGCAATCTCTCCCTATTTTTCTGTCATTTCTCATCCAAGTTGACGTGTGTCACCGCATATTGTACTTCTCTATTTTCTGCCTGTTGTCTTTCGGCTCAGAAGTGAAGTGTAGTTAATCAGTCTGTCCATGACAGCTGAGCAAGCTCCCCTCTGATCAAACCTTTGGGCTTGAGACACAACTTCAAGCTTGTATCTGTAGCTATGTGGTGCATCTTGTTTAGAGACATTGGATAATTTGCATGGGAAATGACCTCTGGAGCCCATCTGTTCAAGTTCCCTGCTCAAAGTAGAGACAATTTCAAAATGAAGTGCTGTGGCTACAGCAGAGTTCTGAAAACTCTCCAAGGATGGAGATCCCGCAGTGCTGATGAGCTGCCTGGGGAAGCACAGCAAGCCCCTAGCACGATTCCGTAGGGTTCGTCATGAGTTGTCTGTAGTGTATGCTGGGGACACTTAGTGAAAAAAAGCCTCATAAAATATGAAGATAAAGCACTAGTGAAGTGTTTGGTTGTGGGTTTTTTTTCTTTTCTTTTTTTTTTTTTCTCCCTTCCGGTTGCAATCTCAAACCTTTGGGTTTTTTATTGATCACATGGAGGGGACTGAAAAATTAGTTTCTCTGCTCACATCATATAGTAAGTTCTTTAAACTCCATTCTGGAGGCGTGGTGTCAGGTGTCCAAGGGAGATTTATTCCTTTCTACTCCTCTGGAAATCCATGATGTCACCTCCTTGCTGCCAAAGCACACACTTCCCCAGCTTTTCTCTCTTGAAATGTATTTTTCAGGATCCCAGTATTGACTCTTCATTGTATGCCTGCTCTGAAATATGTTTCTCCATTGCACTTCTCTTGTGGAACTTGCTGGAATAAGCATCTATTCATTCTCAAAGGGCAAACCTCTGTGAAGGGCTTAATTTGACATCTTCTGAGTAAAGATGGATGTTGTTGCCCCATAGCTTTGTGTATAGTTTACGGTCTCCCAGACAAAATCAGCAGTTGAGCAACAGGCTTCTTTTTTTACTATTATTTTGGTGGGTTTTTTTCTGGACAAATGAGTTGAAATTCTTATATTTTGACAACATGCTGCTCAGATGAGCTTTTCATTCAGTGCAACATTATTCAAACTGTCACTAATTCACCTCTGAATTTTGGATTCTGGCAAGTGGGGGAAAGTGCTAGGAAAGTAAGATCTAAAAGGATCCTCAGCAGAAACTGGGTGGTGAACAAAAGTTTGGCCCTGTCAAGTTCCTGGACACACCAGTATTTGAAGCCTCATTAATAAATTAAATAGTCTGGCTTATGCTGAAGTAGTTGTTTGGGTGGATATAGCTAAGGAAATTGTGATGGGGTTTATTACGGAAGGACTGGGTCCCACGCTTGTAATAAGTGGGCCAGAGCCTGCAAGCATTTAAAAAAAATACTTCCAGAAGTAGCAACTTCGTCCCTGCAAACCTGAGAAACATATATCTGTGTGTGTGCACACACATGCCAGCCAACACCTTGTATATGGATGTGGATCAAATCCGTACCCAGGTGCCTGCTCACTTGTGCTGTTTTGGCCAGAAATATCTGGAGATCCACAAAGATTTTGTGGTGGCGATGTCTTTGTCCTCCTGAAGAAATAAGGATGTTGCTGCTTTATCTTGGAACAAATCCATCCCTGCAGCACCACTATCTGCTGGAGGGTTTTAGGAGGTGTTCAAACAATCTCTTATGATTAGCACTTCTGCGCTTACCTCAAAATCCCAAAGAACAGAAAAATCCATAGCTGTTGCTTGTTCAGCCCGGGGTACAGTTTTCCTTGGCATGCTCCCATATGGCATTCCCATCAGGACCTGATGGATATTAACAGGGATGCATGTATAGTACAACACACGGTACAGTTTTTTGCAGGTTTTTTCTTTTTTTTCCTCTATGGTTTATTTTCCTTTTTGTTGGTTTTAATATCTATTTTATTTCTTAATACCAGTTAAAAATATTTAGAATTAATATCACTCAAATAACCAGAGGACATCCCTTTCCCTGGTAATGTCCATTGCACAGCAAGTATTTTGCCAAGGACCTGTATCCCTCAATGAACATCTCCAGTTTAAATATCTTTAGTTTAGTAAGAAGTTCTTTGCTTGAACTTCGTGGGTCTAATGCAATAAAGGGCTTAGCTTTATCTATTTATGCAGGACTCCTCCTCTGAGAGAAGTCAAGAATGCTGGGTTGAGCTTGCAGTATGTTTCGTGAGATATAGTCTTGAATTGAAAATTGATGTCAAGGTGAGGTGAAGGGCACTTAGGTTTGGGCAAGAAGAGCATGATGCAAAGAACAGTTTTCATGGCACAGCCTCTGCTGATGGCACCAGGCAAAGCAGGCCTTGCAGCAAGTCCAGCAGCTATTGAAGTCCAGGCCAAGAACACCAAGGGCTGTGGGAATTAATAATATATTTATGAGCAGATTCTGCCTGATGCCTGTACCAAAATATCTCATTAGTGTTCATAGCCTAGAAAGATCCCTGCATGTAATCTATCACTTATTTTTTAGGGCTATCTAATTAATTTCAAAATCGTTTATGATTAAGCTTTTATTGCCCAGCTACTCTCCATATCGTAACAGCTCAGTAGGCAATGAGTAACAGTACACGTACTTTAAAGACGAAAGCTGTTTAGTCTTCTACTGTATGTATAGTTCCTAATAAAATACATTTATATTGTTTGATGCTAATGGTTATGTCTCTTCACCCTGGGAGGAAACAGAGCCTTTTACTTTTGATAGCGTGAGCAACCACATTAAGGAGAACAAAAGCATGGTCCTCAGGAGAGACTCTGGGCTGCATTTTTGCTCCATGAAAATCTGCATTGAACAGAACAGATGCTGCTGTTTGCAGGATGCAGAGCCTTTAAAGACTGCGCCAAGTAATTTAGTCAGAGCTATAATGGCTACATCATTTTTTTTTAATTATTATTTTTTTTTCCAATAAGCAATCACATAAATTTGGCTGTGAGATATTTTGCCTTCTCCAGGAATAGCAAGAAAATAGGAAAAACTGAAAATAAAACTCTTCCTTGTGAATCATCTGAATTAGAAGGACAGAAGAGGAATATTTCCCAAACAAATGTTAGCTGGGAAATTATTCCTTCCCTTGCGGGCCCCTCCAGCAGGGCCATGCTGTGCCCCTCCCACCCCCAAAGAACGATGGGTTTCCTAATCCCTTTCAGAGCACAGACTGTTTCTTTCAGCTCTTACAGACCTGAGCTTGCACCTAGGATTCATAGGTCATATTCTTTAGTAAAAATGTAGAACTAGCCTTAAATTAGGTATTTGAGCTCCTGTTTTAGTCATGAGATGGGCAGGATAGTTGATAGCATTATAGACTGTCTGATTTCATCCGGGCTTTTCTTCTGTGTAAATAACAGCCTTATAAGTTGTTCTTTGTAAATAATCATCCTTATACATTTCCTTTTCCTACAGCACCACCTGTTATAAGACACTTGTTTGACTGTCAATGTCATGTTCATGCTAAGTAAGATATTACTGAAAGGAAAAATGAAACACTTACCTCTGGAATTATAACCAGTCCAAATATTAACCCAAAAAGGACCAGATTTACTCCGTACATCCACCGCAGAAAGATGAAGTAGGAAGCGACTGAAGAGCCGAAGTGGCCTTAAACCAGAAGACACTTTGTGGTTAGGAGTTTAGGAGGATTAAACTGCCCTCAGGAAGACCTGGACCCTCAGATCTCCCCAGGGAGTTGCCCAAGACCCTCCCAAATATCCCCACAGCTGATGGAGACAGCAAAGGCCAGAACTGCGTGCTCCTCACTTGGCACCAAGGAGCTGGAGCATCATTTGGAAGGGGGCAAAGCTGTCTTATGGGACACCTCACCACCACCCTGCCATAACTTCCACTTACTCTCCACTTCTTTTATCTTCATCTCCCAGGGTATGCACTGGGTTTTAAAATTGTCAAAGTCTCTCTTAAATTTCACCCATTTCTGAAACAAGATAAAATCGCCATGAGCAGGAGGTGCAAAGAGGAAGGCTGTTGTGTCTGCAGGGCTCAGGATCTGAATCTGATCTGAATCTGGTCTGAATCTGATCTTTTGGACTATTTCAGAAACTACCTTCAACACAAAAGCCCTCCTCCCCCCTCCTCAAATGTTCATGTTGATTATCTGACTTTCAACCTTCTCAGGCTTCTGAAAAGCTGCAGCTGTGCTACGAGTTTTTCACATCACGTTACATATATATGTATATATACACACACACATATATATATAGGGGGCCGGTTAGCTCAGTCAGTTGAGCGTGGCATTAACAACGCTAGGGTCACAAGTTCGATTCCCATTCGGTCCCCATGCGTTGCCTGATCTAGTCGAGAGGTGGCGTCCCTGGCGACAGGGAGGCTGGATTAAAATGATCTCTAAGGTCCCTTCCAGCTTAGCCCATTCTATGATTCTATGATATATATATTCAGACCTAGCTCTGGATTGAAAGAATTGGTGCAGAACCAACTCTATTCAAAACAAAATTTAATTTGATAAAATACTGAGCTTGAATCCTTCCTCATCAGACTGACAGCTAAACTCCCATTGATTTCACCATCTCAGACCTGGCTCCCTTTTCTGCTTCTCAGTATAATCTCCATGACAACATGCAACTTGGCTACCCACTTCAGTCTTAAAACACAGTCATCATTCTTCCCATTATCTCCTCATTACTGGGGAATTCACGGATTCATTACAGGAGTCCATGAGGCAGTGTAAGAGTTTGACAAGGCAAGGTTTTGGGGATTGCAACCAGAAAGCCATGGTTTTCCCTGCTCCTGCAAACCCTCCCTTGCTTCAGGGAAGGCTGCAATGAGATTCAGGTGTGGGGGAATTTTCCTAGTATTTTTATTTTTAACGTGGACAGAAAGATTTATTCTGGTTTCCTCATGTCTCTTTTGCCAAATATGGGTTAATAAACCCTACCGAAAAGGTGCTGAAAGCATAACCAGGTATCCAGGCCGACACCTGAGTAGCACTTACCTTTGCCATCATCATCTTATAGGCGTACAACTTTTTACCCTTCCCTTTTCCCAGAGCTCCTTCAAACTTCTCTACAAAAGCTTGTGCCTCCCTAATTGAAAAATAAACAAGCAGGTTATTGAAGCAGTGAAGGGATCTTTTAGCCTGCACCGGAGAGCATCCTGCATTGAGTCTGGGGTTTTGGCTGTCTGTGGGGGGTGTTTCTCTCTCCCAGTGCTTTGGTCATGAAGAAAATGAGATTGTCTTGTGAAACAGACTCCAAGAGGACGCAGAATTTTCATCTGGACAAATATCAGAGACGTGCAATTGACCACAGCGCCAGAGAAATGAGTCCATGCTGGTCAGGAGTAAAATCAAGCTGCAAGTTGAAATTAGATTTAGAATAAGATTTCTAAGGGAAACACAGAGAAAAGAACCTAGGTAGGTGCTGTTAGAGTATGCTGAGTTTGTGAATAAAGTTGTATATTGGTGTTGCTAATACATCATGCAAAGAGAACCCCGAGTGAGCAATGTGACTGCCTTGTTTAGGTTCATTTGTGGATGGTGACGATCACTGTGACTCAGGGATAAGATGAAGGGATGGAGATATGTTATCAAATGCAATCCTAGGCAGAATATTATCCAGGATCCTACACCAAAGGGAAAATCTGTCAGAAATAGTACTTTTTTTAATTATTTTTTTTCCAGCGGAACATTGGACTTTTAGGGTCATAAGGTTTTATGTGTAATGAGCTCAGGCTTGTAGCGTGCCTGTGAGAGAGAAAAGCTGCTTTAACACAGTTCCCCTATATAGATCTTTACCCAGATTTTTAGAAATAATTGGCAGTGTTCAAGGCTCTGGTTTTAATGGAAGGTGGACCAGGTCTTGGTCTTCAGGATGTAAAAGAAAGAAGCAGAGACACAGGGTGACCATCCAACCTTCCCAGCCTGGTCACTGCAGCTCTGAGCATCTTCTTGGCAAACACTGCCAGAGGAGGGGGTAATCACCACTCCCTGGGGGGCTCTGAGTGCCTGGACAATGCTCTTTTGAAATTGAAAAGGGTTTCAGGGGATTTTTAAGCAATTTGACCTTTGCTCCTTAAACCTCTGCCAATAATACAGTGTTTCCCCACTCCTCGCCCCCCCAGCAGCACTTTCTCAGAAGTGTGAAGTAACACAGCACTTTGCTGCTCTGATTTCTGTCTGACAATGGGCATGAATAAGCAAACCAGGGCACAGAGTTTGCTTTAACAAGCAGCCTGACGGTAGTGAGTCATTTGGTTTTAAATACAAGGGTAGAATGACCTGCAGTGGGTATCAGGTGAACAGATTTGCGCCTTGTCTGTTCTTTGGTTACAGAGGCTGAAAATCAAATTCCACATTTTAACACTGATCATTTCAACCCAGGCCAGGCTCTGCTGTTGGCTTTTTCTGAAACTGGAGTGCATATGCAGCACATATGCAACTTCTAGGAAAGGCAAAGTGCATTCATAGGATGAAGGGTAATGATTTTACACTAAAAGAGGGTTGATTTAGACTAGATAAATGGAAAAAAAGTTTACAATGAAGGTGATGAAACACTGGAACAGGTTGGTAAAAGCCCCATCCCTGGAGACATTCAAGGTCAGGCTTGATGGGGCTCTGAGCAACCTGATCTAGATGAAAATGTCCCTGCTTATTGGAGGGGATTGGACTAGAGGACCTTTAAATGTCGCTTCCATCCCAAACCATTCTGTGGTTCATCTGACAGTCAGGAAAGACCCCAGCGGTGCGGGTTCCTGGTGTGACGGGTACCTGAGCACTGAGAGCTTCTTCACCATCCTCCAGGGCTTGTTCCTCATGGTGGAAATCAGTTTTTTCTTTTGCTCCACCTGCTCCATCAGCATCGCAAGCTCTTCCTCAGACAGTGACTCCTCGTCAGACGAGTTGGAAGAAGCAGAGGAGGTACTGGGAGAGACACAAAATAGGAAAGCTCACAGGAGTTAGAGCTCACCCAATGCAGTGCTTTGGACCACCCTTCAGCTGCAGAAGCATTACCTGTGTTTACAACTGACTCTGGAGAAACATTTTTCACACCTTCAGAAGGAAATGGAAGATATGGGGAGAACCAGAGGGTTGGGACAAGCAAGAACGTGGAAGAGGAAGAAACTTGAAAACACGAGAGATCCATTTTAACCAGCGTGTTTCTGTAGGCCAACCAAAAAAAGTGCCCAGATCTGATTTGCTCAAGCTGTCTTGTTCAAGAGTGCTTTTCTACTCCCATCTGAAGGTGCTATGACTCTGCTGTGTGCATGGATCTGATCCTGGCTGAGAAATGACAACAACACAACACCTTGGGAACAGTTTGGTTGTGCGACATTTTACACTCTTGCTTTCCCCTGTTGTATCTCTTTTGGGAGAGCGGTTTCACAGTCTATTGGTTTTGCAGCTCTGACCCATATGCCTCTGGCAGGTCAACCCTGCCGACAGCCTGACATAAGGCACCACACTCAGGGGTTGCTAAATTACCTGTTTTTCCTGTCTTTCTTCTGTGTGTTTGCCCCCTCTTTTCCTTTCTTGTTTGTTTTTTCTTTGTTTTCTGACTCCTTTTGACCTTTGGAAGGAGCCTTTTTGCCTCGCTCTCTCTGCCGGCTTCCTTCCTCACCTGCCTTTTTTCCATGACTGTTTTCTCTTTGGTAGTTTTTTCTCTTAGAAGCTCTGTTTTGTTGGCTGCAACTATCTTCCTCTTTACTGTCTTCTTCTTCTTCATCTTCTTTGTTGTTCTCTTGCTCTTTCCTTTCGAGTCTGCTTGCTCGGCCAATTTCCCTGAGGGGCCGTTTCTTAGGTTTCTTGTCCTTTACTTCATCTTCTGCAAGGGATAAAAAAAGAAGTACTTTGGGAAATCCATACTGGCAAAATAAGAATCTGTCAGAAAAGGGCAGGAGGCCAGGATGCTTGATGCAAACTCTAGGGAAGTCAGTGAGCAGATGCCTTTTGAGCTCAGTGTGCTTTGTGTTATGCCCCATCCAAGAATGACATCCAACCCTTCAGTTATACAACTCTCATTTAAGATGGGGATGGGAGTCTTCTATTTATAGAGAGAAAATGTCCAGCTTAGGCAGCACTTGGTTTTGTTTCTCTTCGTTTTCTTGTCTATAGGAAGGTCTCTACCCAAAGAAGAAAACACCCAGATAGTCTCTGATGCACATTTCATTCTAACTGGCATTACAAGCTAAAAAGCTCTTTTTTCCCCAAGTCAGAAGTGCTTCCAGTTTGAAGGATTGAAATGGAGCATGATTTTATTGCAGGATATTATGGAAAGGGGAAAAAGATAATTCAAAAATCCCCGAACCTCTCAATCCCTTTTACCACCAAGTACATTTAAATCAATACTCACTTTTCCAGAGTCTTTTGGCTTCTTATTTTGCTAAATTTCTGGTTGGTTGAAAATAAAGTGTTCAAAAAAACAAACAAGCAAACAAATTGCAATTTTGGCATTGATTTTTCCCCAGGTTTTGAGAATAGAACACGGAATTTATGCTGGAATTGTATCCAGAGTAAAAAATGAGCAGCTTAAAAGGTGGGGAAAATAGAAGCAAAACGAATTTGAGTATTTGTATTTTTGTTCTGCTGAAAAATTAGGAATTAATAGCAAGGAAATAGTTTTTGCTTGCTAGTGTAAAAAATTAGTAGGTGGTGGTTTTCACGCTTGTCACTGGGAATGAGAAGGAGCTTTCAACTCATTTCTCAGGAGCTATTAGTCAGGTTTCAGTTACTGTGTAATGGTTCATCTCGGCTGAATTTCAGTTAGTGATCTAGGTCAAAGGACCACCTACCCTCTTTGGGAAAATTACTTTCTCATATTTTATAGGTGGTACAGACATGGCTGTGAACCATTTTTTGCAGTAGAGTCTGCATTCATATCACCTATCCAGTGCTGTGGTCTTGCTTCTTCACTAGCTCTCTTTATTTAGTGTTGCAATCCTTCCACTTAGCTATTTCTCTTCATTTACTATACATACGGGGTTAAAGCTGGCTTTAATCCTGTCACTGGCTCTTCCTGATTTTCCTCACAGCTGCCAGCCTGCCTCCAATCCATTTTTGTTTTTATCTTCTCATACCCATGATTAATCCAGATACCAGCGTGTTATGTTCTAAGCCAGCGTTATGGAGACTGCAAGCAGGACCTTACTGCAGTGCAAAGCAGTCCCAGCCCCGCACAGGATGGTGCCTTACTCTGATGTCCAGTTCCCTAGGGATGACTGCCGAGGGATGTGGGCTCCGAGAGCCTCCTGCTCTGAGAATTGGGGCAGAATGGTGGCTTTACATATCACGACTATAAGTCAAACCTCGAGGGAAAAAGCTGCTTGCTTACAAGGAGCGGAGGAAACAGTTCCTGTTGTAGAGCAAGTCACAAGTCAAGAGAAAAAGGAAAGATACCACCTCTTGTATTTCAAACAACACCAGATTTTTTAATCTCTACATTACCTTCACTCTCTGTGTCACTTTCGACTTGTCCATCAATCTCTATTCCAACTGCAAGACAAAGAACAAAGAGTAATTGCAAGACAAAGAGTAATTGCATTTGTTGCTGGGATTTGCACAGATGATGCTTTACACATCTAGCCCTTAAGTGCCAGCCGAACTTGGCAGAACATCCCTTATTGATTATACATTATACTCCTTTCCTACAGCACTGCTCTTATTATTTGCTTCAGTTTGGCAGTTTGACAAAAGCTCCCTGCTCAAGCAAACCGAAACTGCATGACCTTTAAGAGACACAAAATGGTGCACTTGGAAAGTCCCAAGGTGTTTTTGTCAAGTAATTTTGGCAGCATCCAAACTGAAATGATCTCATAGCAATACCAACCATCTTCCATGATGACCTGTAAAGCACATTTCTTTTTCTTCCCCATCACAGCCTTCCGTCTTTTGAACAGACACTGTAGCTGCTATGCTGTGCGCGCACACCCCGATCATATACGGGTCCCTCGCTCTTCCAGCGCCCATATGCTTGACTCCTTGGCGTTGCAGAACATAGGCACATCCAGCCGTCGATGTCCCTGGTGCTTGCAAGTCATGCGGGAGGGGTGGGAGAGGCAGGGAAGACCCAGCTCTGCCTCAGCCCACCCAAACACTTTCCCTTCTGCTCCTTTCTCACTGTGAAAAAAAGAAAAAAAAAGACAGCACCTGTCGGCATTACATTGCATTTCATTATTTAAACATGAAGGAAAGCCCTTTGGGTGGATACTCGGGTGGTATCGTATGAAACGCGGACACAAGTCACGTCTGGTCCTGACATAAACAGGTGTCTGGAGGCTTTGAAAGGATCAATTTTCTTAATGCCATATTCTTTACTGACCTGTGTCAATCTGTGTCACCCTGTTAGTCACTCTCCTACGCCTTATTAAACCTCTTGGTCAGTGCCCCTCGGGGCACAGCAGTGGGTTACTCTTTGTCCTCCATACACGTCCTTTGCAGGGACACTCATGAGCTAATAGATGCGGCAAGGAGTCAGGAGTCAGGGCACTGGGCTCTCTCTTTCCTTTGCTCCTCTATTCTGTGTGACCTTTGCCTACTCATTGCACTTGCTGGTAAAATAGGATAGATTTTCCTTCTAGGCGCTCTGAGGCTTAATTAATTAATGCGAGACCCTCATCCAGAAGGTCCTTTAGTACCGCCAAGTATTGTGTTGCATGCTGCAGCGCGTGCTCTTTTGATGGGCCAAGAATAGGTTTGTCTGAGCAACCTCTGGTCTTTAAACCAGCAGCATCTGCAGGTTCCTGGGAGAGCTTGTGCATCCCCATGGCAAGGGTCCTCCTTCACACGTGTGGATTGCTCAGGAACTGTTTTACCAAGAGGAAAGCTTACTCTCACGCCATCTTTGAAATCTGCTGCGGACCCTGCTCTGGTTTGCACAGACATCCCTTCAGGGACCAGGTGGGTTGATATTACAAAAAGACTTCTTTTCAAGTTTTGGCTGCCCCCCCGGGAGAAAGGAGCATCGTGGAGATCAGCTGGAGACTGCTGCCACCAGCAGCTCTTGAAGACGACTCCAGCACTGGGGCAGAGGCAGCACCCAAGGAGGTGCCATCCTGAACAGGAGACTCTCTGCTGCTTTTTGCCTGCCAAATTTTGGTCCAAAGGCACCTTTCAAGTGTTTTGAGACTAACCTCCTGAATTGTTTGATCTGCCTTTGAGTTGAGCTCATCTCGCCTGAGCTAAATACATAATGTATGGTATATGGCCAAACATTATTAACAGTTCAAACCCTACAAGTTCATTTACTATGTGTTCCCCACACTGGTGGGTCTGACCGGGTCTGAAGACATTGGTAGTGGTTTTTGAAGGTGTCCTCAGTGAAGAAGTTGCACCCTATGTGTCAATGAGATAGGCTGAAAAGCTGTTCCAAATGTGATCACTCTGTCATTGCATTAATACTGCTCCAGGCAAAATGGAACAATTCATAGTTCCTGGAGGCTACTGGAGTAGATTTTCTTCAGGCTCCTTCAGTTGCCTCAAGCCTCAACCCTTAAGTATCTCTTTCCCAAGCAGACCATCTAGGGACTTCATTTTCCTTGATAAACGAAAGCCATGTTCCTGGAGAATCAGGTGGTAAGAGGCAAAAAGGGGTGTGGATGACCATCACACCCCCACAACACTGTGCTCGGTGCTTGCACTGTTTCTGCCCTATGACCCTTCTCCACCAAGACATCATTGAAAAACGATGAGGAGGGCAAATTTGGTTTTCTACCAGAAATATGTGGCCAGGTGGTAGCTCTGTCTCATGCCTGTCCTTAGATTTTGTAATCTGTTTGTGGCAGTGGCAGCAGGGTGTGATATTTTCATGGCAGTCACGGGGGATATCTGAGATCACCCTGCACTGCAGGAAGGAGTGATAACTGAGGGGCCCCAGAGCCAGAACAGCAGCTGTTTTGTACATCAGTACAGGTGTTTACTGGCTGAACAGATCTGCAGCAAGCTCTGTATTGATGTTGCTTCACCTGCCCCGTACCTATGCTGACAAACATAGTGAGATTGACGGTGACCAAACTGCACTCTTATGGGCTGGGTGGTGGCATTTTACCCTTGCATAGGCAGGGAGCGTTACCTTTCACACTTTGAACTTCACTGGACTCCATCCCATAGAGCAGTGTGTAGTGGCTGGCAATTATTTCCTAATGAAGATGGTTATCTGGGAACAGTCTGCCCAGGGAAGTGGTGGAGTCACCATTCCCGGAGGGATTTAAAAGCTGTGGAGATGTAGTTCTCAGGGACATCAGTTAATGATGAGCCTGGCAGTGCTGGGTTTACAACATCTTTCTTGTAACGAGGGGTTAGAAAAGACCTTTAAGATCATAAAGTCCGACCATTAACCTGACAACACTACCTAAGGTGCTTCCTTAAAGGAAACACGCATACAAAAATGTTGCAACAAGCCCCAAGTGTCGCATGCTTGGGAGAGCAACAAGGCATCTCGTGAGCTGGGAAAGAGGCCATGCACAAGGACTTCTCATGTATCTATGTGTGCATCAGAGAGAAGACAGACCCCCCCTCCATGTGGGGCTGACCCAGTGGACCTTGCAATGGGGGAATGCACCATTCCTCAACACTGCTTGTACTGCTGTCCGTGGTTTCTGAGCCTGGTTTTCCTAAGAGGATAGTGTGTCTTGTGGGGTTTATGATTTCTTAGGAATATGGATTTGGGAGCAGGGGATTAATGGGTTAGTCTTTTACCTCTGAATTATTCCACAAACAGTATGAATAAGTAATGCACAGCCACGAATCCAACTATTATTTACGTAAATGTCAGACTTTGTATGCAGAATGTGAGCAGTTTATGAAATTGTAGCACTAGTTTTATTGTCCTATACCAAAATTCGGTTTGTTTCTCCCCACATTGGCAACTAACACCATATAATTTTGCAGTTTGGAGCTTTAAAATAGAAGGATATTAGGCATCTCACACACCTCCAAGTGTTAAATAAAAAGCAGTTGTGTTATGGAGAGAGGGTAACTGAATCCTGGAGGCACATACAACATGCTTCTAAATGCTTAATGAGCTAATGTTTCTCCCTTCCTTGCTTTCTGATTAACATAAGTCTTTAGCTAATTAATCCATGGATTACATTTATTCAATATTCATCTCATCTATAAGGAATCTGTACTTGAGAAGGTTTTTCAGTAATAACAATAATACCTGACCCACATGTAGATATTTTCATGAGGCATAAAACTTGCGGATTACCAGAGCCAACTTTAATGATATATCTGAGACAGACATTTCCCAACACTGAACTGTTAAGGAAAACTAAATTATCATTTTTTTAAAACAACATAATCACATTTTCCAGGGTCTTGTGCTTTGCCCATGGAAATAACCTTTATCTGAATAATCCTACCCTGCAGCGGGGAGGGCGAGGTCCTCAGAGACAGAACTACAACTTTTTGATTTCTTTCCTCTTGTTATTTTGTAGTATTCTCTCTTCGGCTTTCACTCACCTCTTGCCCCGAGGCAGAGCTGGGAGTTTCCCTGGGAAGGAGTGCGACAAGCTCTGTACATGCTGTTAGTCTGCGTTTTAGCTCAAGAACAATTACTGCCAAGGGCTGCTAATTCAGGTGGCCTGTCAGGAAGAATTAAACCCAAACAGAAGGAAGATGTGCACTGGCAGGTCCTGGAGCTGTGCCAGCTTGGAGAGAGAGCTCTTGACGTCAGATCAACCATAGGACACAGCTCCTTATCTTGTAGAAATTGGCAATATTTTTTTTTTTAAGATGATGCTTACATTGCCCAGCTGTGTGAGAACGGAGTGCTCCTTTAGCAGCAGCCTTATGGGGAAAGGCTGCAATTATTAAGACCTCAGCCTAGGGCAGAGCCCCAGCCCATATCTGCCAGCTCAGTGACATCTTCCCTGGCTCTGTGTTTTGTGAGAGCTAAAGCAGAGCAGAAGCAATTTGATTGAGGAAGAGAAATACCATGATCTGGCATCGTTTAGCACATTTATAGCATGCCGCAGCAAGCTGCTTCCACTTTTGCCACTCCCTGAGTGATGAAGGGATGCTGCTCACAAGAGTGATGGTTTTAAACTAGAAGAAGGTGGATTTAGACTACATATAAGGAGGAATTTTTTTTACAAGGTGAGTGGTGAGACACTGTCACATGGGGCCCAGAGAAGTTATAGAAGTCCCATCACTTGAAACATTCAAAATCAGGTTGAACGGGGCTCTGAACCACCCAATCTAGTGAAAGATGTCCCTGCTCACTGCAGGGAGGTTGGACTAGATGACATTTAAAAGTTCCTTCCATCCCAAACTGTCCTGTGATCCCATGATTCTATGATTCTAAAATGATGATTGCTGGATGGGAGAGATCCACAGGGGAGATGGATGCTAAAAGTCTCCTAGCATGCTAATTAGCCAAAAGCCAAAGGATTTCTCACATTAGCCTTATCTGTACTAAAACCTGAAATCTCTGTCTTCTGCTTTCTAAGGTAGAATTGGAGCTACACCCTCAAAAAACAGAAGTGAAGAAAGCAAGAGGGTTTTGTGGGCTTAAACATCATCATATCCTAAATTACACAAATACATGCCAGGCCTTTTGTAATATTAGTTTTGTATCATGTAAGTCATTAATAGAAGATTTTCCATATTCTGCCTCTTTTTTTTAAGAAGAGGGTCGTGTGTTACTATTATTGGTATGTGAGTGTACATATATACACCTCTGTGTATGTGTGACTGTTTATATGTGTGTTTGCATAAAAAAATGTGTGTGTATATATATATATATCTATATCTTCTTTTCTTCAAAGTACCACAGATTCAATAAGTTCTGGTAGGGCTGGGTGCTCTGAAACAGCATTAAATGTATAATGTAAAACAGCTGGGTGGCTCTTCTACCATATATCCAGGACAGCAGCATGTTTGAGCTTACAAATATTCATTCTGACTTCATCTTCTGGAGGATTTGTTTTTTGAGTTGGGTACATCTAGGGTTAAAACTAAACCCGAGCTACTATGGGTGAGGTTTTCAGTTTCATGGTGAAACTATATTTTTTTGTGAAACTTTAAAATACAGATCAAA